ATAAAGTTAAATAAAAACTAAAAACAACACAGAAAAGTTCTTATGTTCTACAGTTTTAGCTAGAGTTGAACCTTATGACTTGGCAACTTTGTCATCTGAGTAAAAACACACACAACAACATTGGCTGTCTTTATGTTTTCAACTTTACCACCACTGGTGGGTGGAATTTTTTTTTAAATTCAGAAACATTAATAAAAACATATATGAACAATAAATAAGTGTTGCTTTCTTATTCTTATGTAGAGTAATGACCATATGTTTTCACATGTGCACACTTACATACGCGACCTCACTTTTTTTCTTTACCATTAATGGTTAGCTACTTCCATTGCTCCATTTATTAACATTAAATAACAAAACAACCATATTAATTTTACTACAGCTACAACCAGGGTCTTATTTTCTTCAGTTTTATATGTAGAACCAGTCAGTCACTGGTTTTGTAAACAACGAAAACAATGCCGTCTCGTCTCCTCGTGTTTTAATATTCTACGTATTATTAATGAATTGTATTGTTCATTTAGCACACATAAACATTAATTCAATCAAAAAGACATTCAGTAATAAACAATAATACATTTTTTGTACATAGAGAAATGATGCTGTTTACACAATTATGCACGTCTCAACGTTGGCGGGCCGCTCAAACCCGTCGAAATTCGAGTTTCCGCCGTCGAAATTTTAAATTGTGTCGTGTTTTTTTTTTGTATGTGTCCAAATAAAAAAAGTCAAATTAAAACCTCGCAAAATTTGAGAACCTACTGTACAACATTTAACCCTTCAATATGTCTTCAAAGAGACCACGAAGCAGCGAAAGTGGTGCTAGTGCTTCCAAGTGTATGCACAAGTCACTATCTATCCAGGAAAAGGGTGAATTTCCATGGTCCGGAAATTCCCATGGTCTGGCACCGGTCAGGTCCCGAGGTTGCCGGACTACAGAGGTACAACCTGAAGGTGCCTAAAAGAGAGCTCAGGTTCTCAACTGGCTCAGCCATGTTAATATTGTTATTATTATCCACTCTGTATCTGTGTTTTTCTGGTTAAATAAACTGTTTCAATTCAATCCAATTCAATTCGCTGACTGGCAAAACACATCACTGTAAACATCCTCCCATAAACTCAATGTGGATTTAGAAAAGATCACAGCTCTGCTGACATGATTTTTGGGTATTATTGCACTTGTTGCCAACAATTTAATTTTGGAAGAGGTGGGTAAAGGAATATCTCCAGACACTACGTCAGTGACAAAAGTTCTTCAAAACTCGTAGCAATCTCCACGCTGGGGATATCGTGATCTTCTCTGGAAAACCCCTCCCCAGGAGTCAGTGGATGCTAGGGAGAGTACTGAAGGCACTCCCGAGTGAAGATGGCCTGGTGCGAAGTGTTAAAGTGAAGACAAAGGACTCGGTGTTAATACGCCCAGCGACGAGACTCTGCCTGTTGGAAGGGGTCGGAGAGAGTGAATCTAATGGTAGGCCGTGATTTCGAGCGAAGCCCAACAGGGGTAGTGTTATCGCCACGGTGCGTTCCGGCCACATATTAAGTGAAGAGACCGTTTACAACTCAGAATAGCTTACTAAGCGAGATAGAGCTGATAGCAGCTGTGTGACCGCCTGAGGGGCAGAGTATCGCCTTCTACTGTGGAGCCAACACCTTGATTCTCGTCAGCCAACATCTTCCTGCAGGACATTATATTTGGTCTCGTTGGTCTAACCCTAGAACCGAAAACATGAGTGTGATTGTGAACTGTTGAATCCTCTGAGAACTCTAAATATCTTTAATAAGTGTATTTATGTACTGTATATATTGATCATACATATTATTCAAACTGTGTGTCCTGATGTATCAGCAGTTGTTATATGTGAAATGTATTCAACAGGTTTTGATGGATTATACTAATCGCGTCAACGATGAGGGTCTTATTATCCTGCACAGCCACAATTGCTCCTATGAGCGATTACATTAAATAACAATACTGTACTTAAAACATACATTATTCATTTTTTACATTAATTTTGCTATAGCTACAACCAGTCTTTTTTTTCTTCAGTTTTGTATGAAGAACCATCGTCACGGGTATAAACACGAACGAAAACAATGCGGTCTCATCTCCTCTTGTGTGTTTTAATATTCTACTTATTATTAATGAATTGTATTGTTTATTTTGCATATATAAACATGAATTCAATCAAATACATATTCAGTAATGAACAATAATGAATCTTTTGTATATATTCTTAATAAGATAAATGACACCGTTTCCTTGAGTGCGCACATTAAATAACATTAATTAAAAACATAGGTATTTTCTGACGTTAATTTTACTGCAGCAACAACCAGGGTCTTATTTTCTTCAGTTTCAGATGGATAACTGACATTATGGGTGTAAACACTGACAAAAACAATGGCATCACATTTCCTCTTTTTGTGACCACCACATTATTATTATTATTATTGATTTATATTGTAGAAGGTGCATTCATAAACATTATTTAAAAGCCAAACAAAAGATATGAAAATTTCAGACTTTGGAATGCATCTCATTATTATTGCTTTATTTTAATGGTAATTAATGATTCACGATACGATTATTCACCTTACACTGCAATATTGGAGGACACATTACCGCCATTATTTGAGGCTTTACTGTATACTACAGTATAGTACCGTACAGTATAAGGATATTTTCTTGAAATGTAATTGTAGTTACTGAAGAGTGTTACATAAGACAAACACTAACTCTGATACTGACTTTAACTCATGAGATACAGGGGGTTGCCGACTTACGAACACCTGCCAATACACACAGGGTTAAACTTGAAATTTACAGTAGTACTGTATTTTATTTACCTGATGACTCATTTTTTACTTTCATTTATTGTATTTTGTCATTCTATTTCTTCTTTTGTCTCAAATTAAGCAATTTTAGATGTAATATAAGGACTTAGGCTACAAAATAGTGGGATTTTAAACATTGTTCTGTAAGTACGGTATGCACACATCATGTCCTCAGGAACAGAACTCATTCATAACCTGGGGACCCCCTGTATACAGGAAGTGCTCGCTTAACGTTGTGGTTACGTTCTTGTAAAACGCAATGTTAACGGAATCAATTTTTCCCATAAGAAATAGATAAAATACGCTAATTACATTCCCAGGCTCCCTTTGCCCCACAAAATACATTACATATACATAAATTCAATGAATTTTTTTTAGGAAATACAGTCCTGCGCCAATTAACGTCCTAGATACGTTCTTGGAAACGTGATGTTAACCGAAATGGACGTTGTCCAAAATTACATAAACCTATCGGATTTATTCTAATGGGGGTTCCAGGCACCCAACCCAAGTTTTCCATTTTACAACCATTTAGACCCACTAAATATATATATATATATAATGTTATGGTAAATATCATAAACACACATAGGCATGGCTAGGTTTATTACAAAGTGATGAAAAGGATTAATGTAAAGTGGGTAGTCCACAAAACATATAGCTATGTCTCTCTTTATTTGAGTGCCCCGTCAAAGAAGTCCGTTTTCTCTCACTTCAGGACGCCTCAGTCGTCCGTTTTCTCTTAATCTTAAAGTGCAGTACACCAGTGACTTATTTATTCCTTAGTAATGACACAGAATTTGAAATTGCAACTGGGGTTGCAATTGTTGAGGCAACTTAGATATGTCTGATTACAGTTGGAATATTCAAGATCCATTGTGAGTGATGTTTAAAGCTTCAACTGTCTTTATGGTTGGTAAAACTTGTCAAGTCTGACAGTCTGAGTGGCATGTGTGAGGCCTTGTGTTTGTACAACCGCTAAATATATAAATATATAATGTTATGGTAATTATCAGAAACACACATAGGCATGACTAGGTTTATTACAAAGTGATGAAAAATATACCATCAATACTGTACAGTGGGTAGTCCACAAAACATGTAGCCATGTCTCTTTATTTGAGTGCCCCGTCAAAGAAGTCCGTTTTCTCTCACTTCAGGACTCCTGAGTCGTCCGTTTTCTCTTAATCTTAGAGTGCAGTACACCAGATACTTCTTTATTCCGTAGTAATGACACAGAATTTGAAATTGCAACCCCAATTGCAACTGGAGTTGCAATTGTTGAGGCAACTAGATATTTCTGATTACAGCAAATGTGTTATTGTCAATTTGTGGGTAAAAGATTTTATCCTCAATAGATGTAGGTTAACATTACACCTGCAGGCAAATGTTTAAAAAAAGCCTAATCAAGGAAGCATATTCCTTTAACACATAATATCTGACCAGTATGGGGAGGATCATCGTGTCTCCGTCAGGGGGTCATGGAGTGATGGTCCAGCAAGAGTCACGGATTTTTTTTTTTGGGCGTATATGCGATCGGACGTTGTTCGGTCGGACGTTAACCGGCACATGACTGTATATATTATACATCCAAAAAGATAAATAAACTTGTCTTTGTTGCACTCATAGAAATACCACTTCCAACACTAGCCTTAATCTTGTCTGTGCTGATCTGGATAGTACGCACTGTTGTAGGGGTTAAGCCTAATGCTACACCAATGTCCACCTTTCTCAAAACAGTTTAAAACCTCCATTTTCGTAGCAAGGCTAATGGTATTGCATTGCTTCTTCACAACACTAGCATCACTAACACTTGATGGGCACTTGGGAGCCATTTCAAATGGTTACAGTACAGTATTTATAGCAAAAACACTTAAGCACACACATACACTGTGGAAGCTTAACAAAGACTGGGGAGATAATGCTTGGCTGTGACGCTCCGCGAGAGAGCATAGCGCGCAAAGATGAGAGAGGGTGATGCGCCATTCAAAGTAGTCCGTGTTGGGTGACAACGTTATAACAAATTGGTTGGGTCGTAAAACAACGTTGTCGGAGTCATGGGTATCTAAAGAGTAGCAACGTTATAACGAAACAATGTTGTCTTGGGCAACATTAAGCAAGGACTTACTGTACTGTACGTATATACAATTACAAAAGCTTACCCAACATTGAGATGATCCACAAGAGCATGTGTGAGGTTACTGCTGGCCTGGATGGCTTCTTTCCGTCGACGTTCTGTAAAAAAAAACATTGGTTGAGATGCTATACAGTACATCCCCACTGAATGTTAATCCTTTGAACAAATCCTCATAATGAGAGCAAATTTTTACTGCCCATTTGCCAATTAACGAAAGAATGTTCTACTATTACAAAAGGTAAGTCAACCCCCACCTTTCTGCTTTCTCACCACCACTACCTCATTTATCACCACCTAAATCATAATTTCACCTTCCTCCCCTCCCTCCCACCCATTGCGTCTCACCGACACTACCTCTCACTCATTCCATGACCGTCATTCATGATAGTACAATATTGTACAATGCTGTACATTGTTTATTTGTTATTCTCACTCAATAATTTAAAATTTATGTAACAATGTAGAAGGAATACAATGTTGTTCATTTATACTTACACTCAATTTTGTGGGTAGACATAAGCTGTTAAATTGTCTGGCAGTCTTGCAGCCAGTGTTACCAAATAAACCAACTGATGCATCATCTTCTCACCACTTCCCATCTTCCTTCCTCCCTCCCTCCCACCCACCCACTGCATCTCACCGACACTCTGCCTCTCTCTCATTCTACTATGACTGTCATTCCCATAAATAACAACTGACAACCCTGTTCATGTAGCTTTATGTTTTACATGTTTTATTGTTTTTACCTTCAGTATTATGATGTGTTGTAATTATTTTGTCACAGACATTAGTAATGTACAGTACATTAATCTATCACCCTTTCGTTCAATGGGGACTTGCTGTATACTGTACTGTATGCCATCATCACCGTTTTATGATCATTTATGTTTATACAGTACAGTGGTCCCTCGGTTAATAAACGGTTTGATTAACAAAATTTTGGTTAACGAATTAGCTCCCATAAGGATTTGCAGTTCGATTAACGAACAAAACTTCGATTAACGAAAGCCTTATGAGAAACACGTTTTGTCATGCGCATCAGCTGATCGACAAGTCCGCCAATACAGTAATCGGTTCTATGTTTACATTCGTTTCCAGTGGAGTAAATATCAAGAAAGTTGTGCTCTTTAATATTTTTGCATTTTTTATATTAAATTTATTAGTCATTCTAAAATTTAGATAACATATTGATAATATAGACAGTACAGGGAACAGTTTTTGTGTGCCCATCAGCTGATTGAATCACCCACCAACCCTTCTCAGTTTAACTTTGTTTACAGTGGAGTGAACATTGAGTTTGGTCTCTTGAATATTGTTGCATTTTTACATTAAAATTATTGGTCATTCTAAAATTTAGTTAACATATTGATAATATACAGTACAGAAATTATTATGAAACATGAAAAAGGCATTAGAACCAATGCACTCTACAAAGAATATGGCATCATCATCGATTGCCTCTACAATCAGCTGTTTGACATGTAAACAAAGCTGCCAGGAATACAACATACACACCTCATAGTAAGTTAAAATAAAGTATTTTATTGTTTTTTATTTATTATTGTACAGTATACTGTGCAGTACAGTACTGTATTTAGTTTATATTTAATGTTTTGTTAATTCTATTACTGGTATGCACAGGTAGTTCTGCTATAACGCGATAGTTGTGTTCTTGTAAAACATCGTGTTATAGAAATTCGTGTAATAGAAATAACAGGGCTTATGGAGAAAATAGGGTTAGGTGCAGATTACTCAAAATCGAAAAAAAAATTCGTAGTTAGCCTAACACAAAGGATAGCACAGTCTAAATAAATGTTACATTCATATCTAATAATGAAATCATACAGTAAATGTTACACTTTACCTTGAAAAAATATGAATATAACTTGATGGGGGAGAAGGTTGATGTTGAGGCTGAGGAGTCATGAAACATCAAGCTTTTCTTCAAGTGTTATAGCCTTTCTTTTACGATCACCACCGGAAATGCGATCACCAGAGTGCTTCCCAGAGATATTCTTCTTTTCCATAGTCACAAAATTGGAGAAACAGTAATCAGAATTCACTGAGGACACTTAAAAACTTCACGTGTTTCAAACAAAGTGTGGAGTAAACAGAGCGCGCGGGTCTAAAACGCTATGTATTTTGTTTTTCTCTTATTTAAAATTTTACATTTTACATATACTGTACAGGTATACTGTATACATAAATATTACATAAATTATTTCTGCAATTCTTCACAAACAAAACACATAAATCAATTGAATATGTGATGTCGAACGTGAACTGTAAACACTGCATAACCCCGCGCCAAGCCACAATGTACAGTACACTTTAAACGCTACTTATTTTGTTTTTCTCTCTTATTTAAAATTTTACAATTTACATATACTGTACAGGTATTTCTTCACAAACAAAACACATAAATCAATTGAACAAGTGATGTCGAACATGAACTGTAAACATTGAGCCAAGCCACAACACTGTACAGTAATTTACATATTCATATTATGCTACAGCGCCCACAAAACATGAGAAACGTTTGAGTCCCCCAGTAGAGATGTCCGTTCTCTATCCACTTCAGGATGTCCTAGTCCTCCGTTTTCTTTTTGTGTACTCGCTCAGGGACTCAAGTATTTCTGTATATAACACAGGATGATAAGGGAATTTGAAATTATGAGTGAATGAATTTATTATACAGTGATCAATTAACATAGTATTGATGTGTTTAAGTAGTAGTATTCACTCACTCTAAACCACGAATTCCATTCATACAGAGAGAGAGAGAGAGAGAGAGAGGCCAAGCGCTCTGTTTACATCACACACACATAAATATTACATAAATTATTTCTGCAATTCTTCACAAACAAAACACATAAATCAATTGAATATGTGATGTCGAACGTGAACTGTAAACACTGTGTGTGATGTAAAGAGAACGCGGGTCTAAAACGCTACGTATTTTGTTTTTCTCTCTTAGTTAAAATTTTACATTTTACATATACTGTACAGGTATACTGTATACATAAATATTACATAAATTATTTCTGCAATTCTTCACAAATAAAACACATAAATCAATTGAATATGTGATGTCGAACGTGAACTGTAAACACTGCATAACCCCGCGCCAAGCCACAGCACTGTACAGTACACTTTAAGCGCTACGTATTTAGTTTTTCTTTTATTTAAATTTTTACAATTTACATATATATATATATAAGTAAACTGTAATTTACATATTATTCATATTATGCTACAGCGCCCACAAAACATGAGAAACGTTTGAGTCCCCCAGTAGAGATGTCCGTTCTCTATCCACTCCAGGATGTCTTAGTCCTCCGTTTTCTTTTTGTGTACTCGCTCAGGGACTCAAGTATTTCTGTATATAACACAGGATGATAAGGGAATTTGAATTTATTTGTTAATTTATTTATTTATAATATACTGTAATATATTAAATATACTGCAAGTATTTTCTTTAATTTATATACTTTTTTCTCGAAAAAGGGAGGCTACCATTATACCTGGTAATGTACATTTATGGTGATCGTTAAGGACCAAACTCCGAATCCATGACGTGACTTCTGTTCATCATTTATATCCTAAATTTACCAATGTAGGTAGTTTCAAGAATTAACGCAGTCATTTACTGAATATTCTTTGCAAAAAAATAAATTTCAAATGAATTATTTATAGGAGAAGTATTATGATCAGTAAATATACAGATATGCATTACTGACCACCTCCGAACACAAGGACGGCTAAAAATAGCTACAGGCGGTCACAGTCAAGGTCACTTTCCCTTTCTTGTCACTGGCAAATGGGGGGAGGGTGGTGATGATAGGAGCTGTGTTTATTACCGGGGTATATTGTTCTTTTACGGTATGTTAGACTGGTTTATAATACATTTTTATTATTTTAATATACCGGTAATCTTCATTTTAATCCAGCTTCCCAAACGTAAGTTTCAGTTTAAAATAATTAGTGGTACTGTAGGACCTTGTGAGTGGTTTACTGTATACATAAATATTACATAAATTATTTCTGCAATTCTTCACAAACAAAACACATAAATCAATTGAATATGTGATGTCGAACGTGAACTGTAAACACTGTGTGTGATGTAAAGAGAACGCGAGTGTAAAACGCTATGTAATTTGATTTTCTCTTTTATTTAAAATTTTACAATTTACTTATAATATATAGGTATACTGTATACATAAATATTACATACATTATTTCTGCAATTGTTCACAAACAAAACACACAACTCAATTGAACATGTGATGTCGAACGTGAACTGAAGCCATAACAACCGTTCGAGTGGAATCGCGTTAGAGCAAACGAGTTCGCGTTTTACAAATATCGTTCCTCAATTCATAAATCGCGTTAGAGCAAATTCGCGTTGTCAAAACACGCGTTATAGCAGAACTCACTGTATACTTTTTCTGTGAGTTGGAACCAATTACCCAATACCCCATTGAAATAATAGATTCGGTTAACGAAATTTTTGATTAATGAACGACTCTGTGGAACCAATTGTGTTTGTTAGTCGAGGGACCACTGTATTATAATGTAAATATTTATTTTATCACAAAATGGAAAAATACTGCACTGTAAAATATTCATTTTACAGTACAAGTCCAAAAATCCGGACTGCTTGGGGATTGGGTCGGTTGGGATTTTCGGATTTTCCGGATTCTCAGGCAGTAGTTTTAAAATTAAAATTTAAGGAGGAATAAAGAAGAGATGAACAGGTACATTTTGATAGTTTATTCATCAGCAAATATAGCATGCTTCATTTATCAAAACGAGCAGTTTTAATGAAAAAGCTGTGAATTCCAGAATTTTATTCTTTGCCTTTTTTATATCATAAATTGTAGGCTTTTCAATGGCGTATGTTTCCATTAGAACAGTATTGCTCACACCACGTTCTAGTTTCTTAATTATTTCAAGTTTGTCACTCAATTTCAACGTGTTCTTCTTTCTCTTCACACAACGAAGTTTATCTACTTTAGGAGCCATTATGTAAATGGAAAGAGTAGGACTCAAAATATTGTTATATTACAATGGTGTTCTATTCATACTGTGCTTGATA